AAAAAAAAAAAAAGTCAATGATAATTAAAAAAAAAAATTATTGTTGATCTTTGGGCATACAGAGTGTCTAATTTCTGGTCCCAAAGGGCTGAAGGCAGGGTTCTTAACCATGTTAATATCATTCTCTGAGGCTTTGGCATATGTAAGCTTCACTTTGACAACACTTGCTATGTTACTTAATATCTTCTTTCAACTAACAATTCAAACTCAAAATCTTGATACTTCCTGAATATTAGGTCTTTCTTAATTAAGACACAAAATTACTGATGCATTTTGATTTTACCGTACACTATAATATTGGCTCTCCTTTGACTGTCTTCTTTGTGCTACTCAGTACTCAGCAAACTAGAACAGTGTCCACAGGTATATGTATGTATTATCTTCTTACATAATTTGCCTACCACTAGAAACTAAGAGTTTTCCAAAGTAACGTTTAAGAAACTTACCCTTGAGAGAACTTCCTACACGGATGATTGGAGCTCTTGCCGTCTTTTTCCCTTTGCTCTTTAGTTCAGCTAGTGTGCTTCGTTGTGGTACAGAAGACTCAAAAACTTCCTCCTCCTCTTCTTTCTCAAGTGCCAAAAGAGTTTGTCGAGACACTCGAGCTTGGAATTGTCTAAAGTAGCAGAATGGACAACCAGCTCTTAGTGAGGTGACCACTACTTTACCAGACTCAAAATTTCTAATTTATTAAAGTGAAAAACAGCCTGGGGGAAGAAACGCAAAAATATCCCAAAGAATGTGTTTATTCTCTTGGAGGTAAAGAAAGTCACCTTAACATCATGAAAGTTTTGGCTAGAATGATTTAACTCTCCCTTTAAAATGCCCAAGTTTGACCAATTTAAATTTCTCTGAAAATCACCACTAAGTTTGATCTGAGGATCAGATTAGGGTTATTAAGACTATAATCACACAATGTATGAAGATCAGAGTTTCCCACCAACTTTTTATTAGAAAACTTTTTATTAGAAAATTGTTAACATTGTGCCACATCTATTTTATCACTGGATGTCTCTTTTTCTATACACACACATGCACATGCACACCCACATATAGTTTCTCCTGGCCCATATGAAATGAAGTTGCATATGACATGACATTTTACTTTAGCAAAGCTGGCAGAAGTTTGAAAAGTAAACTTCTTATGCTGCTGCCACAGTTTTAAGTATTATCAGAAGAGATTCTCCAGTCCTACCACTGCTTCATTCAACTATCCTTAAGAAGTATTATCAGAAAGGTTTAAAAAAAAAAAAAAAAAAAACCCTCAAAACCCAGAATACATTGCAGATACTGGCCAAGATGCAGTATGCCCACCATAGCTTCTCTCTCTCCCTCTCACTGATAGGAATTAAAAACGGTAGATAATATACAATTAAAAACGGTAGGCAACTGAGGGCTCCAAAAAGTCAACAAAATCAAGTGGACTGTGGAGAGGGGTCAAAACTTGGAGAAACAACCCACACAGGGTTGTTTCCTTTTTTTTTTTTTAAATCTCTTCTATTTTCTCTTGTGGTTTTGAACTGCTGTAATGGTGATATGGGAATCTAAAACTCCTAGAGAAACTCCATCTTTCTAGCCAGAGAACTGGGAAAAAGGGACTCTGAAGGCCAAAGAATATGGGAGGAGAACTACAAAGGAATGAGCTGAACAAGGGGATGTCCTAATTCTGTATGTGAATTGGCATACATCTTACGCTCCCTCTTGAGCTGTGCATGCACAGGGTAGACTCAAAGCAGCACAAAAAAGGCTTTCAGAACTGAACTATGATATAAACCACTGCCCAAACCACAGGTTAACCCTTAAGTGGGATATGCATGGTATAAACCCAAAGCAACATAGCAAAGGTCTTGAAAACTGAACTGACATTGGAACCAACAACTACAAAAGATGACAAAGAACTTGTAATATTTGAAGTGTGATTGGCTACTAAGACAAAAACATAGATATTCGACAGAGAATATAAGCCAAGAGGAGGAGAGTCTTATAACATAGTGCCAGGATAAATGTCCAGGATACAAGAATTACTTGACACACAAGGAACTAGAAAAATGTGACCAATTTTCAAAGGAAAAAACAAGAAGCAAATGCAAACATAAAATGACTCAGATGGTGCTGTTTTCAGATGGAGATTTTATTTATTTTATTTTATTTTTTGAGATAGAGTCTCACTCTGTCGCCCAGGCTGGAGTGTAGTGGTACAATCTTGGTTCACTATAACCTCTGCCCCCCAAGTTCAAGAGATTCTCCTGCTTCATCCTCCCAAGTAGCCAAGATTACCACCACGCCTAGCTAAGTTTTGTGTTTTCAGTAGCGAAGGGGTTTTAACATGTTGGCCAGGCTGGTCTCAGACTCCTGATCTCAAGTGATTCGCCCACCTCAGCCTCCCAAAGTGCTGGGATCATAGGCGTGAGTCACCGTGCCCGGTCTGGAGATTTTAAAGTACCTAGTATAACTATGTTCCATGAGATAAGGTAAAAACATTCGAAATGAATAGAAAGGCAGAAATTCTCAATACAGAAACAGAAATTATCAAAAAGAATCAAACAGAAATTTTAGACTTGAAAAATACAGTATCTGAAATAAAAAATTTATGTTGGATGGATTCAATAGCAGGATGGAGATGGAAAAGTAAAGAGTAAGTGAACCTGAAGACAGAGCAATAAAAATTGGCCAATCTGAAAAACAAAAAGAAAAATGGTCACATAGAGCTTCGGGGACCTACGGAATGATATCAAAAGGTTTAATTTGGACAGATTCTTGGTAGCAGAGTTGGGGGAAACGGCCTAAAATTTGTGCAACTGAAGACCCAGAGACAGTGAAGAAAGAGATGCAGGTACAACAAAGTATTTTAAAATTAATGGCTGAAAACTTGTCAAATTTTGTGAAAGGCATACATTTACAAATTCAAAGGACCCAGTGAACCCAAAACAGATTAAATGTAAAGAAAATCACATTTCTTTACATGTAATGACACACCACAATCAGACTTCTGAAACCCAAAGCTAAATAAGAAAATATCTTGGACAAGGCCAGAGAAAAATCAACGTATTATGTATAAGCAGGAACTACTAAATGACTACAGATTTCTTATTAGAAACCATGGAGGCCAGAAGACAGTAGGACAACATCATTAAAGTGGTGAAAAAAAAAGAAATATTGGCTGGGCACAGTGGCTCATGCCTATAATCTCAACACTTTGGGAGGCTGAGGCGGGCTGACCATTTGAGGTCAGGAGTCCAAGAACAGCCTGGCCAATGTGATGAAACCCCATCTCTACTAAAAATACAAATTAGCCGGGTGTGGTGGTATACATCTATAGTCCCAGATACTCGGCTACTTGAGAGGCTGAGGCAAGAGAATTGCTTGAGCCCAGGAGGTGGAGGTTGCAGTGAGCCAAAATCATGCCACTGCACTTCAAACTGGGTGATTCCATCTCAAAAACAAAAAGAAAAAAGAAAAAGAAATGTTGACCCAGAATTCTTTATCCTTCAGGAAAGAAGACGAAATGAGGACATTCTCAGCTGAAGATGAACTAAGAGAATTGACCGTAGACCTGCTCTAAAAGAAAATGGCTAAAAGAAGCTCTTCAGACTGAAAGGAAATAAGGCTAGAAGTAAACTTGGAGCTTTAGGAATGAAAAAAGAACAACAACAACAAAAAAGAATAAACACAAAAGATGATTTTCCTAAGTTCTTAAGATATATAGATATTAATACACGGCTTTTGAAAGCAAAACTTGAAATATTGTCTGGTGTGGTTTTCAGTGTATATAGATATAATACGTATGGCAAGTATACCAAAAGAAAAGGGAATATAAGGGAACCTTTATGGTTATAAAGCTTCTGTATTTTACTTTAAGGGATGAAATACTGGAGAGGATCCAAGATGACCGAAGAGGAACAGCTCTGGATTGCAGTTCCTAGAGAAAATGCAGAGGGTGAGTGATCACTGCATTTCCAAACAAATTTTTACTGCACACAGACCAGGCGATTCCTGGGTGGAAAAGCACCACGAGTCTCCAGCTCAGCTGTTTCAGCCAGCGCAGCAGGTCTCTGCACAAAAACTCACACAAATCCAGGCACCATTTCAACTGGCAACTGGAATGCCTGAGAGACACAGTTGCCCATTCAACTGAAAAAAGAGGGCTGAAACAGGGAGCCAGGTGATCTGGCTCGGCTGGTCCCACCCCGACAAAGACCAGCAATCTGAAATGCTCTGGATTGAGAGTTAAACAGCAAGCACAGCTGGACCCAGGATGGTCCAGCTCTGTGGGGGGAAGGGCATCCACCATTACCGAGGCAGTCAGCCATTACAGAGACAGTCCGCCATTACCGAGGTAGACTGCCATTACCGAGGCAGACCGCCATTACTGAGGCAGTTCTAACTATACCCCTATAAACAAAATTGCAAGGAAGTTCACACAGCAGCAGGGCATAGCCCACAACAGCTCAGCAACACCTCTGCTGGCAGAGTGTAACTAGGCTACCTCCTTGCTGGGCAGGGCAACTCTGAAAAAAGGCAGCAGAATGACAGGAACTTATAAATAAAGCCCTACCTTCCCAAGACAGAGCACCTGGGAAAAAAAGGCGGTTATGAGTTCCGCTGCAGCAGACTTAAACTTACCTGCCCAGCAGCTCTGAACAGAACAACGTAGCTCACAGCTCAGCACCTGAGCTCCTATAAGGGACAGACTGTCTCCCCAAGCAGCTTCCCGATCCCTGTACAGGTATTGATCGACTTACCACCTATGCAACTTACAACCATTCGACTTTACGACCACAATCACTAGCCACGACTGCTCCGCGTCTGGCAGCGCAAACGTTGCCCAGCTGGGCGTACGACAGTGCGGACCAGCTTCCGGCAGCACTACCATCTCCGCGTGCACCATTTCAACTATACATATAGCCTACTCAACTTACGACCAAATCAAGTTACGACCGGTCTGCGGTCCCGACTGTGGTCGTAAGTCGAGCACTAGCTGTATAATCAGAGACACCTCATAAAGGAGAGCTCAGGCTGACATCTGGTAGGTATCCTTCTGGAACAAAGATAACAGAAGAAGAAACTGGCAGCAGCCCTTACAGTTCTACAGCCGCTGCAGGTGATCCCCAGGTAAACAGGGTCTGGAGTGGACCTCTAGCAGTCCTACAGCATGGGGGCCTGACTGTTAGAAGGAAAACTAAGAAACAGAAAGAAATAACTTCATCAGCAACAAAAAGGACATCCACTCAGAGACCCCATCTGAAAGTCATCAACTAAAAAGACCACAGGTAGATAAAGCCACAAAGATGGGAAGAAACCAGCCTGAAAAGGAAGAAAACACCAAACCCTTAATGTCTCTCCTCCTTCAAGGGATCACAACTCCTCACCAGCAAGGGAACAAAGCTGGACGGAGAATGAGTCTGATGAATTGACAGAAAGAGGCTTCAGAAGGTGGGTAATAACAAAGTTCTCAGAGCTAAAAGATCATGTTCTAATCCAATGCAAAAACAACTAAGAACCTTGAAAAAAGGTTTGACGAAATGCTAACAAGAATAAACACCTTAGAGAAGAATATAAATGAACTGATGGAACTAAAAAACACAACATGAGAACTTCACGAAGCATACACAAGTT